TGCAAATATCTTCTGGCCTCTTGTACATCATATGTAACACTCATTGCCTTGTGAAAGAATGTAAACTATGGGTCATGTATAAACATATTTTGTGGAAGCCTGGAAGTTCAGCAAATGCCCCCTGTTGGCCACCAAACTCCGTGGGAAATGCAGCAGTAGCAGAAGAGCTTTTTATCACTGCATTTGGGAGGCACCCTCCTGTCACAAGGCTAGCCATCAGGCAGCCTGAAAGCGTAGGAATTACTTTCCAAAATAAAATACAGTACAAGCACAATTGGATGTTAAATTAAAAGGTCAGCAAAGACATGATAAATGAAAAGAGTAGCATGTTCTCACAATCAACATAAGGACAACTGGCAAGATTAAATAAAATATTTACAGAATGTTTCAAAATCAGTTGAAATGCTTTGAAATGCCTAAATATTGCAGGTATGTAGAGCATGTCTTAAAGATAGGGAAGTCCATCATTTGGTGACAACTGGTTAGTGAGTACGAGTTGTAAAAGGCATTATTTTCTAGCCATGGTCAAAATAGAATAGAAATTAATTTCATGCCATACTGCCTTTGGTTATATGATAAAGTATAACCATATAAGCCCTAATGGGGACAAGGTTGTTTCATATGCAGTGAGAAACATAGTTTCAAATGTCTGCTCATTTATGAGAGTCTCTGGATGGTTCTAGATCAGGCTTGCCCTGTTTCAAGATACTGGTTGAAGTCTTTGGGAACTGCTGTATTTTCTTGGTTCTCTAGACAGGGAGATGAATCTCAGCTGCTAGAAAAGAAGAAAGTTTGGGTTTTGCATAAGGTGTCTTTTAAAAGACTGGATAATCTTTCCCACCCATTCCCAGCTGTCACCAGATCACAGTGGCTCAACACGAAGATGTCTGTGGATGGTGGACCCTTTCCTATTCTGATCTTTGCCTGCCCCATCTCTGTAACATTACAAAGACCTACGTCATGATGACAGATTTTTGGCCCTGAAAGCTGAGGGAATAGGGTGATCCTGATGCAGCAGCTCTACTTTGGACAATTCACTGAAGTTATCATAACAAGAAATGAGCAAGGCCTGGGACAAAAACAAGTGGGCACTTCCTCTCATTTAGGTTACACATGCTGACCAGATAGGCAGTTTAATCTTTTCAAAGCTTGTGATAGCACAGCATCCTCCCAAGGACAGTAGCCTAGTCTAGCACATAGTGGTGCCAACACAGAGACCTTTTGCCGGTGTTCCCTCCTTTCCTTTTTAAACGCGGTGGGCTCTTCCCACATGTCATCTCTGCCTGTGCAGCCACCTGCTGCTTGTGGCAGCTGCCTCAGTATCCCTAGTGGGAAGATAGGCACAGAAGATGAAATTAACAGAAGAGAACTTTATGCACTGAAAAAGTGTTGAGAACAATGACAAATATTAATCTCTGTTCAATAATGAGCTCCAATGTTCTTTTTCTTCTGGAAACAGAGACGTTAAAAACCACAAGGAAATGCATCTGCACCCATTACATGCTTCCTAATGGGCTTTTCAGAAATATTCTGAGGTTAGAAAGCATCTTTGGAGCAGGAAAATCAACACGATGTTGTCCCCTAGGATGCTGCTCATTACCCTCATGAAAGCAGAGGAACCATTAGCAGAGCTGCCTCAGAATGTCTATGTAATACATTTGGGAGCAGTTAGATGGGAGAAGTTCTTTTTAAAAAGCCTGTGCTTTCTTTCCTAGTCCAGTCCCAATAAATGAATTAAAGTGGTTTATTAGGGTAGAGTGCCATCATATCTTTACAAGCAGATAGAGGAAATCTTTTTGCTAGCACTCCCAGTGGAAGAGCACCTCGTAGTGCCAACCCAACATCCTTGTGTAGCTGTTCCGTCCTTTCCTTACTAACACACACTCAATTTGGGAGAAAAAAGATGGAAGGAATAATGGGGAAACACGGGTTACACTTGGAAAATCGTGACTTCTGCGCCTCCTCCAAATTTTATGAATGTAGCAGAGTGATGGCACTCTAAAAGTTACCTCTGGAAGCTATCTCTGGATGGCACTGGACAGGTGATCTCCACGTCGCTTGCAGGAGTTTGCTCTCAGAGACCTGAAAACAAGTTCAGGCCCGTTTTTGTAGAAGAAATGGAACCCTCTCTGAAGAAGTTATTTTCTCTCCTCAATGTACTCTGCATCTTATTTACCACCACAAGAGCAAACAGTGAGTATATGCCATCTTTTGTGGTTGTGTTCATGATTCATCATGAGCTGCTTTACACAGAGCTGGTGAGAACCACTGTGTTACTGACTGAGTACACCTGATTTTCTCATATTTTTCTTACTCTGTATGTCTTTGTTTATTTTGTATCTTTATCATCATCATCACTCAACCTTTTTCTTCAAGGGAGGATGGGTACACAATCCTCTTCCTCAGTTTTTATCCTTACAACATACAGATAAGGTGATGATATACTACAACCACAGTCATACAGACCAATCTACTTACTTAATGCGGATTATAACATTTTTGCCTCAAGAGTGGTGAACAGACTTAAGAAATGTATTGCCAAAATAATAAACTCTGATCAGACTGGATTCGTCCCCAAGAGACTTTATGTGAGATAACATAAGATTTGTAATAGATGTGATGGAATTTGTAGGAAAAAACTAACATAAAACAGCATTTATGTTTCTAGATGCAGAGAAGGCATTTGATAATATTTCTTGGAGCTTTCTAAGTATTGTGGCATTTGAAATGTGGCACAAAGTCTGAAAATTGGATGCAAGGAATTTATAAAAAACAAAATGCAAGAATGCTAATAAATGGGGTTTTAACTGATGGGTTTATTACTGGGGAAGGGAACCAGGCAAGGCTGCCTGTGATCACCACTGTGGTTTATTTACCAGTGGAGATCTTTGCAAACAAGATTAGACAAGACAGCCAAATTGAAGAATTAAAAACATACGGTGAGGAATTTAAGCTAAGAAGTCATTATAATAAATTTTTTAACAAAACAAGAAGAAGTACAGGGCATGAACTGATGGATAAATCAAAAAAGTATTTAGGTGTTTATTTAACAGGAAATAATAAAACACTGTATAAGGATAATTATGAAAGAGTATGGGGATAATACAAAAAGATCTAAGAAGATGGTCTAATATAAAACTCTCCTGGCTGGGAAAAATATTGAAAATAAAAATTAATATACTGCAAAAAATTAACTTCCTGTTCCAAATTATTCTAATTACAATTCAGGAAAAAAATTAAAGACTGGCAAAAACAAATAAATACATTTATAGGGAGCTGTAAAAAACAAGGAGAAGATTTAAAGTACTACAAGATGATAAGAAAAGAGGAGGGCTGATGTTATGTAATGTTAAATTATGTTATCAAGCAGCAGGTATAGCATGGCTTGTAGATTGGATTTTTACAAAACCAACCTAAAGTATGGCACTGCTTAAAATAATATGTATAGTATAGATTTTAAAATAAGAAGGCTATATAAACTATGTAAATGGACTGCCAGTTGTCCTTTATATATATGAAATGTGTGCATTTTTTTTCTTTTACTGTAGTCTTCCTTCTATACTTCTATATATTTCAAAATTAATAAGAAATAAAGTAAAATAAAAAACATCTAGATGAGGTAACATAAGCTGAAAGCAAATGATTGTCTGAACTTTCTCTAGTGAGTATCATGGCTGAAGGAGTCTGACACCGCCAGGGGTCCTTTTGAGGAGAAAGGTAGGGTAAACGTAAGTAAGTTGGTGAGCAAGCAAGCAAGCAAGCAAATAAATAAATAAATAAATATATAAATAAATAAATAAATAAATATATAAATAAATAAATAAATAAATAAGGGTTTTTAAAACCCAGACCTCCCTCATCCACATCAAGTACTCCAACCACTGAACTACAATGGCTGTTAATTAAAAAGGAGGAACATAGAAAGCTGCTTTAGAAAAATCACTGCTCCACCTATCCCAATAGTGTCCACTAATGAAGGATTTGACTTACAAAATCCCCACTGATTCAATAGACCTACGGTAGTGCAACTTGTAATGCTAGGCAGCAGGATTTCAGCGATTCTTAGAAAAGCTTGCAAAGGTGAAACTGTTTGAGCGCATAACATTCAGTTCTATATCTTTTTTTAACTTACTCTGGAATGGGAGTGGGCAACTTTGAAAGGATTGGGGCCCAAATTGATACCCCAGACCCCTTTTGGAGGCCACACCCAACTCTAAAATGGCAGAGAGAGAGAGAGAGAGAATTTAAAACAAGGTGGAGGGGGACTGAAAGCTACCACTCTTGGAGGTCACCCATTTATACTCCTGCTCAAAAGCAAGCATGCAAAGTGCTGATGTGAACCAAGACTGATGCACATGGGATGGAGAGGTTTAAGCTTTTCCATCCATTCTTCCTTAATAATCACCCATGGTAATTACCAAAATTGAATTTACTTTTTCTAAAACACAAAGGCAGTGGGAGTTAAAGTCTTCCAGTTTGGCAGCCTGGATCTGTCTGAATTGGGCTGTGCAATTTAGAGTACAGAAAAATAAAAGACAGCCTGCATGCTATTCTTTAAAAGCGTGTTGCTTGCTCTGTTCTGACACACGATGACAGCAGAACAATGCAGTCAATATACGTCTACTTTGTGGAGACTTAGGTTACTAAATCTCCAGCAGCTACTGATGACTGAAATTATTAATTTATGATAAGGAAACATTCATAAGAACATTCAAAAGAGTTGTGACATGTATTCTATTCGCACCAGTAAATGTTAAAACCCAAATTAGAATATGCAAATCTAACATATTTGTCTGTATTCCAATGCAAAAAAATATGTTTTGAATGTTGTAATATAATTTATGCTACCATTTCTGTTTTTAACTTGTACTTTGCTTCTTCTTTCAGATTCATCAGACAAACATATTCTTTCATACAACTATAGCAGCCTTTTGTCCACTTTAGTCCACAGTCAAAAAGGAGAGCATTCCCCCACCTCAAAGGGTACTGAAATATACCTGACTAGCCCATGGCTAACCACTGTCGTTCCTTCAGTCTACATTCTTGTGGTTGTATATGGTTTTCCTTTAAACGTTATGGCAGTCCTTGTGTTTGTGGTCAAAATAAAGCTTAAGAAACCAGCGGTTGTATACATGCTCAACCTCGCCTCTGCAGATCTACTTCTTGTGAGTGTGCTGCCTTTTAAAATTTTCTATCATTTTACCGGAAACAACTGGCCATTTGGACCTGAAATGTGTCATCTTATCAGCGGTATCTTCTTCTGCAACACCTTCTGCTCGATGCTGCTTATGACAGCGATGAGTGTGGACCGTAGCCTGGCTTTGTTGTACCCGATGCAGTCGCTGTCATGGCGCACGCTACATCGTGCCTCGTTGGTGTGCGCTGTCATCTGGCTTGTAGCCATTGTTGCGGTGATATATCCTATGACAAATGAACTAACTTATAACATACCTCAGTTAAACATTACAACCTGCGTCGATGAGCCTGATGTTTCTGTGATTATAACATTCAGTCGCTATTACATATTTGTCTTATCTATTCTGTTCTTTTATATACCATTATTAATCTCTAGTGTGTGTTATGCAAGCATTATAAAGAAACTGTCTTCATCCGATGTTGCTACCAAGCCAGGTAAGAAGAGGCGTGCCATCCTCTTGTCTGTAGCGGTCTTGTCTTCTTTCATTCTTTGTTTTGGTCCAATACATACCCTGACATTTCTCCAAATTGTTTTGCCGGATACATATTATGAAAGTTTATCTCTTGCCTTCAATCTTGCCTTCACGTTTAGTACCATCAACTGCTGCCTGGACCCCTTAATCTATTATTATGCCTCCTCAGAGTGTCAAAGACAGGTCTGGACTCTCCTGTGCCCTGGAAAGCGTTCTGATGTTGAAAAAGACATTCAGGAAACAATCAATAACACCACAACTTATTTTAGTGGCTTGGGGCACTTGACTCAAGCATAATTTCTGACAGTTGCAGCTATGGAATATGCTCACTCATAAACATATGTGCCCCCTAAGTGACAAATGTTATTTAAAAAAAAACAAAAACCAACTGTCTTGCATGTCCATATATTTCTTCCTGTGGGATGCCAGGTCTGAGAAAGGACCGCCTGTCATGAAGAGCCCCCTGCAACCCCTTGGAATTTCCCCACTCTTGACCAAGAGTATTTAAAAATGTCATGCTTGTTCACAGCCCTATGGTTTCTAATAATCAGGCATCTGAATTTGGGAAAAGATAACTGTTCTGCTTTTGACAAGGACATAGGCAAGGACATTACAAACAGTGTGCCTTATTCCAAGAGAACGGAACATTCTCTAAATGCCCACAGACTAGATTTTGTACTATCTTTAATTTTCTGAATTTATAAATGGTAACAGCAGTTTTATTTTCTGAATGTCTATCATCATATCAAGTAGCATGAATAGGTTTCTGTTCCTTTCCATCTAGTGCTAATATAGTTAACATTTTTTTTACAATTTCAATAGAATTTGGAAAACAATCAGAGGAGGGAGGGGAAAGAATGCAAAGGACTAGTCCTGGTCCTGAACATCAGGTCCCACCTGCCCACATCACCAGAATGCCACATACAGACACACACCTCATCTTTATAAGAATATATCATAACTAACCACAGGGGGAAAAGCCCGTTCAAATCATTCTGGTTTAAAAAGCACAAATGTCCAAATAGCAGAGAGAGAAAAGCAAAAAGGCTTAGACCAATTCAAATTAGCCTTTGCATCATGTGGTCAGTAAAAAAAATTACTTCTGTGTTATAAGTGGAGAAAATCCTACACATCATGTAGTCACAACCTTAATTTGCAAACTCAAGTAATCTGTGAGTGTCAGTTATCTCTGACACTCACAGATAATCATCTCCTAAGGTTTCCTTTTCTAAACATCAAATTATTTATATCATGTATTTCTGCCTGTCAATGGTACTGCTTTTTCTCTACACAGATTTTATCTGATGTTGGTTTTTTTATTGAAGACATTCAGTAGTGTCTGGTGGGTTTTTTTGGATTTTTATTAGCATTTGTACAGTATTGTAAATTGCCTGTTGCAGACTTCCTGTACAACATGGTGTTGAACTAAAATGAATGGATCTTCACTCTTCTGACATTTATTCATTCTCAACTATGATGTGATCAATTCAAATAAACTCAAGAAAAGATGGTAGCAAATTACAAATAACATGAAGTTCTCTTATGCATACAGAATAACTTAGAGTTGAGATTGGCATGTACTTCCCATATTCCAAGGGATGATAAGAGAAAGGAGAGTGGTATTGTAAAAGCAATGCTTCAGTTTGAAACTTAAGACCTCAGGGTCTGCAGTTCCACCATCAAAACAGAATGTTACTTCTGCCTAAGGAGCATGTACAGTCTCAACAACAATTCCCACTGTCCCCTGCCAACATGACCACCAACATGACCACCAACAATTCCCACTGTCCCCTGCCAACATGACCACAGGGTGCTGGGGAGGAAGAAACAGAAATACCCTGAAACTAGGCCAGATATTGTGGTCAAGCAGTGTGCAATTTAGATCTAGTCCCAGAAGGGAAATGGCATACTGGGAGTGGGCCATTTCTGGGTGTTAAGGGCCACATGGCTACCCTCCAGCCCCCCACAGCATGTGCCCTCTCTCACTGTTGCTGCACTGCCAGTTTTTAAAATTGCCATTTTGCCTTTCAGTTAACAACTTCTGTCTTAAATGACTGAGGAACATGCACTTGGTATGCAATGTTTTAACATTTAGTTTTCTTGTTTAAAGAAAAGGCATTTCTTTACCACATAAAAGCTTTAAAATGTCGGGGGGGAGAGAACAGAAGCTTGTTGCTACAGATCTGGAGAGAACAAGTTGTAAATACTGTATCCTTTTTGTGGTTGTTTGAAGATCCTGTCTCACATCTTCCCCACTACACACTTTTTTTTCAACAAAGATGATAGTGAAGAGCCCTGATCATTTCTTGGCTGTGGTATCACCTACGCAACCTGACTCATGGCAAATACAAAACCATACCTAGCTGGTATTGCCATCTGGTTTATACCCTTTACTGAGGTGATAGCTGTTGCTGGCCGCCTAGACAAACAAAGGGAATACACTACTGACATTAAATGTTACACCCTCTCTTTATATTACCATGTTTACATGGTCTCTGTTTACATGAAAAGATCTTTGTGCATCATGTGCTCTTTTATTTTTATACCAGTATCAATTCCTTTCACTTGTTATGCATATATTATAAGGCATCTCTGTCATCTTGTTCTGCAGCAAAACTAGGCAGGAGTTCGAATATGCAGCACTCTTGTCTACAGTTGTGCTGTCCTATGTTATTGTTTGTTTTGATTCAACAACTGCCCTGTTGCAAAGTACATGCTTTTTTTTTGGACTACAGCTCCCAGAAGCCCCAGCCAGGTATAGTCCCCAAAAGGCAATTTTCCCATATATTCTTCCCAAAGCCCCAATGACTACAAGAATGACTGAAGTGTGTTTCTTCCAGAGGTTTTGATGACCAGGTCTCTGTATTTTGTTAATTTTTCAAATTCTTTATTTTTGACTCTGGCATCCTCTGGAATTGCAATAATAATGATCCAGTCATTTCTTTGTTCTATTACTATGTCTGGTGTGTTATGTGCAAGGTGTCTATCAGTTTGGATCTAGAAATCCTACAAGATCTTGACTTCCTCGTTTTCTGACACCTTCTCTACCTGATGTTCCCATGGCTTTTTGGAGGCTGGCAAGTTACATATTTTGTATAATGACCAGTGCACTAACTGTGCCACTCTATCTTGTCTAACGTAATCTGTCTGTGCAATCTTTGGACATCCAGAGATGAGGTGTGATGCAGTTTCATCTTTTTCCTGGCAGAGTCGACATTTGCTCTTAGCACTAATTCCTTGAATTTTAGCTTTCATCACATTGGTTTGGAGTGCTTGTTCTTGTGTAGCAAAAATTTAGCCTTTCTTCTTTAATGGTCCCCAGTTTTAGCCATTCCCTGTTGAATTATGATCATGCTTTCAATCAATATTTCTCAGGTGTTGTCCATGTAGTAGTTTATTTTCCCCGCTGCTTAATTTATTTTCAAATTGTTTTTTTCTTATGTTGAGCCTTTCTTTGTTTATGTTATTTTCAAAATATTCTCCATTTTCACCATCAATTTTTCTCTACTTGTACTTATATAATCATTTAGGTTTCTTTTTTTCCTCCTCTACTACCTGCTGTATTTGTAGTAATCCATGGCCTCCAATTTTTCATGGTAAATTTAATCTGTCCACATCACTTTTTGGATGTAGTGTGTGATGGATGTTCATTGGTTTCTGTGTTTTTCAATTCAGTTCCTCTGATCCATTTTGGGTCTAATTTATTATTCCAGCTTGGTATTTAACTACCGGAACTGCCCATGCGTTTATGGCTTTGATGTTATTTCCATCATTTAATTTTGATTTTAAGATTTTCTGCAGTCTTTTGATATATTCCTTTTTCTTTCAATACTTTAACTTTAATGTGCAGGATGTTGTCTGCTTCTAGTATTCCAAGGCATTTATAATTTTTATCACTTGATTGTGATTTTATAATATTGCCATTTTTAAACTCTATTCCATCTAGATTTTGGATCCTGTCACGGTGTATAAACAGAGCAGCACATTTGTCTATTTTATTTACTAAATATTTGCCTGTGTCTAGAAGTCTATCTCCATGAATATTTTTGCATATAGTTTTAGGTCATCCATGTATAAGAGATTATTGGTTTTTCCTGCTTATTCTGAAATATGGCAGCCCAAGCCAGTTTTATTTAAAATTATTGACATGGGGATTAGTAAAATGTTCAATATCAGTCGTGACAAATAATCCCCCTGAAACATTCCTCTTTTGATGCTAATAATATTGATGATGGTGGTGGTGATGCAGCCTGGTTCTGTTGCAGGTAAAAATTCTACTGCTATACAAAAAATGCTGGTCTTGTTAACTTCAATGATGCTTGCAAATGACAAGGTTATTCTGAATAAGATGCCTGATCCCAGGAACAATGAGAATGACGCATTCTCCAACTGAACGCAGGCCAGAGGTCTGTAAGCAATGACATCCTGTCATCATGTCATCTGATGCAAGGGAATTTCCACTCTTTTACTATGCTACTTATCTAAACTTGTAGCTTCCCAGAAACCATTCTGAGACCTCAGAGTTCTATATTTGTTTGGCAAAAGAGCACTGTGGATGCAGAACCAGAGGGACATGAATAGACTTGACAATGTTAACGTGTACAGCAATGCAGATGAAATATTCTCAAAAGAAAATACAGAACACGTACATTTTCCAAGATTGTGGTGTAAAGAATATCAACACATACGGCCTGAAGATTGCACATAAGATGGACCACCAGACAGATAAATAAATGGGTTGGATGTCAAATCAAACCTGAACTCTGACTAGAAGCTAAAATGACTAAACTGATGCTATTGCACTTTTGGTATCTAATGAGAAGCCAAATTACTTGCAAAAAACACACAAGAATGTTAGAAGTAGAAGGCAGTACTAAACAATATCTAACATGAGGTGGATTGACTTATTAAAGGAAATCATGTTTTTTAGTTTGTGGAAAAAAGACTTTTTGATCACCAAAAGTTGGAATTTTAGAAGAGACAGCCGTGCTAGCCAGTGCTAGCATATCAGGCAAAAGCAAAACAAAAAATAAAGAAGACAAAAATGTTGCATTTTTGCATAAAGACTAACTGCTAAATGTTGCATCAAAAATGTTGCATTTTTGCATAAAGACTTACTGCTAAATGTTGCATAAAGACTAACTGCTATATTTTAATGGGAACTTTCATGGACTGAGAAGTGGACTTGTCCACGAAACCTCATATTAAAATAGGTAATTTTTGTGATAAGAAAAAATTCATTTGTGAAATGTTCCAAAAAAAATTTCAAAACTTCAAGTATGGGCATCTAAATGGCA